TTTTTTTTTTTTTTTTTTTTTTTTTTAATTTATCTAATCTCTTATGGTTTAGGGAGTATGTTAGGTTAGTATTTTGGTAGCGTTTAGCTATGCTTGCAAGTATAAACTAAGGCAGGGGTGGGCAATTATTTTGGCTGGAGGGCTGCTTAACAAGTCCTGGTGAGCTGTTGAGGTCACAAGGGTGTCCCTGCCCCTTGACAAACATCCCACCCCCTGGTTGCCAACTTGGGACCAGAAGTCCTACCACCCTAACCCCGGACCTTTGCCACTGGAAGTCCCTCCCCTTGCTTCCTGCCTTTTGGGAAGGGGGGTTGCCATCTTGGAACTGGGGGGAAAAAATTATATACTAGAAATCAAACATCCACAACAATGTATTTTAATTTTATTTAAAAGAAATAGTTGTGTGTTTACATTGTGTATATAGAGACGATTGCATAATAGCTCAAAATGAAGTCTTACAAGAGTATATTGCAAGAGGGGGTAGGGAGGTGGTTATGTGTGGGTGGGTGGATATTTATGGGGCTTGTGGGGTATGGGGGTTTGTGGGGATGGGGTTTGTGGAGGGAGAGGGTGGATCTGGGTGGGTGTATGTGTGTGCTGGAGCGTGCGATAGCAGTAAGCAGGGCTTCTCCCAGAGGCATGCAGTGCAGGTGTTTGTGGGGGAGGGTGTGGATGGGTGCGCTATTTGTGGGGTATGTGATCGTGTGTGTGGGGGGGAGAGTTTGATGGTATGGCGGGGTGTGCATGGGAGCCCCCCCACACACCCCCCCCTGAGTTGGCTGCTGGGCAGAAACTATTGCTTGGTGCAGGGGAAAAGTGGCCCTTCTCCCTCGTTGCTGCTGGGCAGTCTTTGCTGCAGCCACCCAGAGCCCACGCTGGGCTGCCCTGCATCTCTGCCACCATCACCACTGCCTCTGGGCTGCTCAGCAGGGCAGTGCAGAGCAGCTGCAGGGCAACCCAGTACAGTGCGGGCTCCAGGCAGCTGCAGCAAGAACTGCCCGGCAGCAGCGAGGGGGAAGGGCTGCTTTTACTCTGCACCTAACAACAGTTTCTGCCTGACACCCACCCGTGCTGCTGCTGCTGCTGAGCCTGGACGGGCAAGTCCGAAGCGGCTGCGGGGTGTGCTGAGTCAGGGCTCCGTGCATGGGTCCCCACTGGTACCGTGGGGTTGGGACCAGCAGCAACTGGTAGGAGCTGCCCCAGCCCCATGCTCAAGGGACGGCAGGATGTGCCCTGGCTGGCTGGCACCTGGGCCAGACAAGACTCAGGGATCCACTGTGGGCTGGACAAAACCCCTTCATGGCCATATATTTTGCCCATCCCTGAACTGAGGCAACACATGCAGCATATGCACAAGAAAATTGAGAAGAAACAGTGCCATGTGACAAGAGCATCAGTTACATTTCCCTAGGGAGTTTTGGTCGTGTATAACCTATCCTTGGAGCCTGTCGAGCTTAAATCCACACAGCGTGAAAAAGATCCCAGCACAGCACAGCACAATGCAGTCTGGATTCTCAGGTGACTTGATCACAAGTATATCTAAAGAATTTCCACCCTTTCACAGGTGTCGGGAACTATACTTAGGACTAGAGCCTATGAAAGGTGTAGAGGTAGAGCAGAATTAGTTAAAAAAGTAAAATAAAATGGTAGAATTAGGTAAAATGAATCAGTTGGAGATTGCTTGGTAATGTCAGGATCTGCAATGACCAGCATTGCTTTCACCAGCACA